GGATTTTATTAACTTCATGTACAAAAGCAGCCACTTCTCTTGCTTAGGATACTTTCTGTCTTCTCTCCCCACACCTCCAGTACAACAGTGGATGTAATACCAAGAAATAGGCATGGGGGGTGCTAGGGGTGTCACCTAAGAAGGAAGGGGGTGGTAGCCTGAGGAAGTTTGGGGACTACTGCAGTAGATATCGGATGTAACTAGTTGCAGGCAACTCGTTGCTTGCAATTAATTCCTGTTTCCAATAATTATATTATTATATAATAGATGATATTATTTATGGAATTAAGAAAGGGTAACATTACCCTTTAGCAAAGAAATGGTAAGTTATAGGTGTGTGACCTCTACAAGTGCTGGAAGAGAAATATCACACGGATCAAGACCCAGCTAGTGGGCAGTGCCTCACAGAGCTGCCTGATGCTCTGTTATAGCTGAGGAGGGGAGAATGTGTTTTGCACCACAAACCAGAAGCTTACAGCATTTAATTTGTTTTTAAAGTCTGAATAAGAACTAATCTAGATACTTCTGAGGTACAGGAACATAAAATTGTGTTGATTTTTTAAAAAGATGTACTTAGAACAGTAACTACTTTGGGGTGTGGCCTTGGGACTTATAACTGTAACTAATTATTAAAGCAATTCCCAAGCTCTGATTATCAGCTGCTAGAGTCCAGTTCCATTTTAGCTCATCCCATTAGGCACTGGTAGAAGGTTTTGTATTTTGCTTCCGGTGAGGCATCTCACTACCGATTATTTTTAGACTTATTCTAGCATTATTCTAATCCACCTCCAGTAACACAGTATCTTCTTCCTATTCAACCGACAGTCAGCTTCTCTGTCATGGATAGCTATGCCATGGGACCATGTGTTCTTTGGGCCAGGGGTTTGCTCATACTTTAAATCAAGTGATCATAAAGCAAAGGGGAGGGGAGAAAACACATTGCCTAGGAGTACCGTATTTTCTGGCGTATAAGACGACCCGCGTATAAGATGACCCCCCATTTTTCCAGTCAAAATATAGAGTTTTAGCACCTCTATCCCCCTTATCCTTATACCCGGCGTATAAGACAACCCCCCCCCCACTTTAACCACAGCTTTTGCAGGTTAAAAAGTAGTCTTATACACAGGAAAATAAGGTATATATTAAAATGAAACAAAAAATATGCACAAAAGTGCCAGGGAATTCTGCCAGGTAAGACATAGTCTTTCTTGTGTCAGCCACTGAACCTTTTCTTTTTCAGAAAGCACATGAGTGCTTTAGAAGGTACCAAAATGGTAGACTTGAAGAGTTTACATTCTCAGAGGAAACTAATAAGGCACATGAAAAGACCCGCCAACAATTTTTTAAAAGTTCACAAAATGGCACAAAGGCAGGATGTGAAGAATAAGACGTTCTTATTACTGGTGATCTTACAAGCACTAGCCAATATGTCTCCATGACAATTAATTCAATTCCAACTGCAGCACATATATTAGTGGGGTGCTAGTGGTGGTATATTTTGCTCCTCCTGACAAAATAGTACAATAGGGCAAATACTGAACACACAATTTGTGCATTCAGTAAAAAAACCCCAATAAAATTATTTTCCCCCACTTTGAACACCTAAAAAGATATATTAGACAATATTTTTTTTGTCTCGGGTATGTTAACTCATTTCTTCAAATGAGGTTTGTTGTACACTTCACGTGTATATGAGTTAGAACTCTAGGCAGATTTTGCCACCTATTTAAAAAAAGAAAGAAAGAAAGTGTGAATCTCTCAACCTTGTACCAGCACTTCTCCCTAATCAGAGAGATCAAATGCTGATCTGTGACTGCCAAGGAAGCAGCTATTAAAACTCTGTATTAATCCAGATGGATTAACTCCTACAAAAGAGATTTCTTGCCAGCTGGCAAAGAGCCATTTGAACTTGTTGGTCTAATACGGTCCCCACTCTCTTTAGTGAATGGATTTCATCAAGGTCACGGCATCCTTGGATAATACCTACCGGTGCTTCATTTGCTCACATGGAGCAGTTAAGAGATCTTTCAAAGTGTCCCTGAGACAACAATGTAGTTCTGCGTACAAAATATTTAGTTAAAAGATGGGAAGCATTTATTATTCTAAACAGAAAATTAGGCAGAAACAACAATAATACACTACAACTATAAAATGCTCTGCTTTTATAAGTATAGTGGCAGTTGCCCCATGTGAGTGAGGTAGTTAATCCATTGCAGGTTTTAATCTAAACTTTAAAGGAGTTATCTAAAGTGCTGGGCCTATTTTGGGGACAGGGTGAGCACCTCGCATAGTTCCTTTAAGTTCAAATCACCTATTGACCTAGGCAAGATCCTGCATTGTTTCAGGGTAGTGTAAATATCCACCGTCAGAATTACATTGCACAACCCCTATATGAACAGCAACACAATCAGTGTGTCTGGCTGACAACTCATGCAGTGCAGTAGAGGGGACATGCATTCACGCCCAACTCTGTCTGCTTCAGTGTGCTGCTCTATTTGAATGGCATAAGTGCGCAACTCCACTTATGCCACCATCAGCTGGATATAAGTGTTATGCATTGATTGGGAGGGGAGTCACTCTGCATGTGTAGCACAAGTTATATTTTCATATGTCATGAAGAGGACCATTGGCCTCCCTGCCTTGTGTCACCCGGTGTGGGCTTCCTGGGGTGGGACTTCTGGTGTGGGTGCTTCCAGAGATGGAGGTAGGAGGGCATGCTCAGACTTTGTTGTTGCTGTGGCCCATTCTCTTCATGAGGAGAATGGGGTCACAGCAAGGAAGTGGGGTGTGTGTGCATCCAGCCTTCCTTGTTACCGTGGACCTGGTCTCCTCATGAGGAAGACCTCATGGACCCCATCTCCTCATGAGGAGACTGGGGCCATGGCAAAGGTGTGGTGAGGCATGCTCAGCCTTTCTCATTGCCATGCCCCCTTCTCCTCATGAGGAGAACAGGGCCACAGCAATGAGGTGCACGTGGGAGGGGGGAACCAGGTGTTGTCCCTCTTCTGGGGTGCCCCCCCAAATTTATTTACTTATTTATTTATTTGGTGTATTTATACCCCGCTCTTCAGCCACAGAGGCTCTCAGAGTGGCTTACAAATGGTTAATTAGATGGGTTCCCTGTCCTCAGGCTTACAATCTAAAAAGACATGTCATAAAAGGAGAAAGGAATGGAGGTGAGGAAGGGGATCAGGTCCAGCACTGGTTCTCTCCCTCTGAGGCCGAGGAGGTAATGCAGGTAACTGATGCCACTGAACAGGACACAAGTCCTGGAAACCATATTGATAAGATGAATGAATTAGGCACTATGTCCTTCATAATTACATTTGTCTTTTAAAATATCACTAGTTGGTTTTTGATTCAGTCATATCTTTTACACATAAAGGCTGCAGTCTTATAGTGTATTAGGACATTGCCACCCCCAATGACTTGCTGTACTGCACCTGAAGCCCCTGCTTCTGTCATTTCATTCTGGGGTAGAACTTTATGCCCCTTTTCCTGATGCTTTATCTCAGCCTATGTTCCTGGATCACACAATGTATTCAGAACTGGTTCAAGACATTATGCTGCCTGAGTAAATGCCAAAGTCCAGGTGCTTATTACTCAAAGGCATGCAGGACATTTGGGTACAAGAGACAGGGAATTCCAGAATCCCCCTCCCAACCCTGGTGATAAATTAACAGATTAACACTGCAAGTACAACACCAAAACAATTGTACTGGAGGACATATTGTGAAGGGAGCCTTGTACTAATGTTGCTTCCTTGCCTTATTGTAGGCTCTGGGTTTCTGTCAGTATTGTTTCATTATGTGTCCTTGCATTGTGTAGTGGTGTTTGGAAAGAGGCACATGTTTAATTAGGACAGGTTAAAATTGAAAATTACTAGCCACATAATGTATAGTGCAGTTCAATCTCGATTTTTTTTTTTTAAAAAAAGAGCACTTATTCAAGAGTCTCTTCTGAATATATAGTAACCAGTATGTATCACCTGAAAATTTTAGGGCATCTGCACTGCAGAAATAATCCAGTTTGGCACCATTATAACTGCCATGGCTTAGTGCTATGGATTTCTGGGAACTGTAGTTTTGTGAGACATTAAGCCTTCTCTGTCAGAAAGCTCTGGTGCCACAACAGACTACAATTCCCAGGATTACATAGCATTGAGCCATGGCAGTTAAAGTGATGTCAAACTGGGTTATTTCTGTAGTGCGACTGCAGCTAAAGATGTGTAAAATATCCAGGTGTATAATTGTTCCTTGAAGCCATGATGTCTGGAACTGTGCTTCTGATGTACTTCTGATTCACTAATGTACCAGGGATCTACACTGTGCTTCTGATGTGTTTCTTTTCTAGAAACTCCCTACAGACTAGCACTGGTCCAGAGACCTCCACTTTGAGTAGTGCTGGTGAAGGACCTATTCAATAAGATGTATTTTCATTATTCTTATAGTCAAGGGGCTTGAGTCAGGTTATTATTAGGCAATTTGATCAATGCAGCCTGAGAAGAAATAACACCCAGGATCTTGGATGTCCTGTTGGCATCATTAGGAAACAGAAACCTGTTTGGGCAACAGAATTAAAGAAAAATCAAAGCCTACTTTGCCCAACAAGTAGATCTTACTCTGCTGCATTTTTTGAACCCATTCTGCAAACATAGACTTGTGCTCTCATTCCACTCTTCTCATGACATAGTAAGCCTTTTCCAGAATCCAGCTCTCCTTGCCAACTCTTCAGTGCTCTAGACAAAGTTAATCCATGATAATACTTTTTTCCCCATGTAAAATATGGATACATTCGTGTCAAGTGGGGCTGCCAGTCACAGAAGCACTATAGGGATCATGTTGAGGTTGTGTGCCTTCAAGTTGTTTCTGACTTATGGCAATTGTAAGACGAACTTATCATAGGGTTTTCTTGGCTAGATTTGTTCAGAGGAGGTTTGCCTTTGCCTTCCCCTGAGGCTGAGAGCATGCAACTTGCCCAGGATCATCCAATGGGTTTCATGGCAGAGCATGGAATCGAAGCCTGGTCTCCAGAGTTGTAGTCCAACACTCAAACCACTATGCCACACTGTAGGGATCATACCTTCTCCATTTTCAGCTGTCCCAGATGACAGTACAGAAATATAGCTGTCACAAGTCTCTGTGTGAAATTTTTCTTCAGTCCCCAAATTGCCAGCATTGCTGTAATTTAAGACTTAAGTCGAGCATTTAGAAATACAGTTTAGGTATCCAAAGAAAAGGGGCACACAAAGTTACCAAAGGGATGCAAATGTGGCAAATATAAGACGTTTAGGTGTGAATGGTTTTCACTGTCCCACTCTCTGCAATGTTAGAAATTTGGGGACTGAAGGAAAATTTGATTTGGGAGGCAGCAATTCTTTTGCGGGAGGAACACCATCATCTCACCCCCTCAGTAGCTATACCTCCCCCCCGCTTTTACTAAAACAGAAATGATGTTCTGGTCACTTCCATTTTTTCTGAATGTTGCTGTTTGAGGCCAGTGGCATACCAGGAATGTTTTCCCCCAGTGTGGATTATGTTTTAACACCCTCAAATAATGCATGTGTTCCTACTGGAGCCTTGATGGCACAAAGATTAAATGCCAGTACTGCAGCCATTCACAGCCACAAGGTTGTGAGTTCGATTCCAGGCAGGCTCCAGGGTCCACTGGCATCACTGCTCATTTCCTCAGAAGACAACACTGGGTTGCATCCCCTCTAAGGTGTTACACAGTGTGGATTGCACCCCTGCACCCCCCAATGATGTCCTTGTTTGGGGCCTTTTCAGGTGCACCCGCCCAACAGCCATTAAACAGAGAATGTATGTTTCCTGGAGACCTCTGCAGGTATGATCCTTTATCTTTCCCTTTCCTTTTTTTGCTGCAAAGTGGAGATTTGATGTCCAGGGTCCTCCCAGGAGCCACAATTCCCAGCCCTGATTTTTAAGTGGGAACTATGATTTAAAACTACATGTGGAATGGTGCTTCAAAGAATGCCATTTGTGGCACTACAACTTGCTGGCTAGAGATTCAGGGAACTGTAGTTCAAAAAAGTAAACTGTCTTCTGGACAGATACAAAGATGATGCTAAGGCTTCAGGAGTGACTCTCTGATGGAATTCTTTTTTAAAATCATCTATGGGAAATTCTAATTTTGACTGGCACCATTATGTTGATGTTGTCTGTGTGGCCAGCCTTGGGCTGCATCTACACTGCAAAATTAATGCTGCTAGGCACAACTTTAACTGTCATGGCTTCATGCTATGGATTTCTGGGATTTGTAGTTTTGTGAGATATTTAGCCTTCTCTTTCAGACATCTCTGGTGCCACTAACAAATTACACATTCCAAGATTTCCTAGGATGGGACTATGACAGTTAAAGTTGTGTCAAATTGCATTATTTCTGCAGTGCAGACCTGACCTTGGTTGTAAAAGTACATCTAGTCTCCCGTAGCCCAGGTCTCGGCTGGGCTGAGGGGGGGGACAATGCTGCTGCGTGCGCTGCCGCGCGCGCACTCTCCGCTGCCACACGTGACCCCCCATGCACGGCTGCCGCCGCAGTGTATGCGGCCGCAGCCGCCGAGGCGCATGTCGCGGCCGCCGTTTTGGAAATCAAAACAAGAGTACTGCGCATGCGCAAATGCATTGCGACCACCATTTTGATTTCCAAAATGGCGGTCATGGCGAGCGCAGCCGCAGAGCGGCAAAAACACGCCACGGTGGTGGCAGCAACCTTTGGCCTGGGCTGGTAAGTCCAGGGACCGGGGCCTTAACCGGCCCCCGGACCTTAGGTTGCCGGTCCCTGATCTAGACTAAAAAGACTCCGATTTTGTTCCTGCTCTTTCTGATTTTATTTTGGAGATCTGTACACATTTTGTTTATCCCAGAATATTTTCTGTCAGCTCTTGGTACAATCAGAGCCTTTTTTTACCAGCTCTCGAGGTCGGTTTACTTTAACCAAGCATAAAATTGGAAAGATCAGGAAGAAAATCAGGGATTTTCCAGTCAGTCTGGATGCTCCCTTATTCATTTTCATGTCTTATGTGTACCACCAGATGGCGATGTTTCTTCCAAATGACAAACTAAATTTATTTGGTTTTCTAATCCCATTAAAAGGAGTTGTGTAAATATGTGGGAATAAGCTATTCCCTCAAGCTCTTACTTCCAAAGGATTTCTGATATGCTCTGTATTAAAGACAGGGGATAGTTTTCCATTTGAGCTTCTTTCTCTATTTCTGCTTTCCTGAAAAGTCATACATAGCTTTTAAAAGATGCTTGGAGTTTCTTTGCATCCTCTCCATGGAGGCAATAATTTTGGGAAGTAACCCACTGAAGTCTAGATGAACAGAAGCAGATAGCTTGAACTGAGTTTTATAGCTTTTAACTTACTGGAGATTTTATTTATGGTAATGCAATTTATGGCAATGGCCAGCCATGGTGTAGTAGTGGTTTGAATGTTGGACTATGGAGACCAGGATTTGAATCACTTCTTGGCCATGGAAACTCACTGGATTACCTTGGATGAGACACACACAGCCTCAGAGGAAAGCAAAGACAAATCCTCACGGAACAAATTCTGCCAAGAAAACCCCATGGTAGGTGACGTTTGGGTCTCCATAAGTTAGAAATGACTTGAAGGCACAACAACAACAGGGCCTGAAGGCACATAACAACAGCAAAAAAAGATCAGACTTTGGTGCATGCACAGCTGGATCATCTATGTACCAACCTGGACCAGGGGGAACATGTAAATAGATGTATATTAATTCTTTCCTCAGTTTCTATGTCCATTCCTTTCCTAGATGGAAGAAATGCAATGGAGGTCATATTGGTCAATAGGAACAAAATAAATCCACTGGAGTGCAATAGCTTTGTTAGGACTGACTAATTTTACAATAGTGTTCCAACTTTTAAGTTCTCCAGAATTCTTCCTTTGTCTAAGTAGAACTAAAAACTGTGGGGAAAGGAGAGGATAAACATGAAAGCTTTTGTTTGTTTTAAAGCTAGATGTTGCCACTAGAAGTCCACTGTTAAACTGAAGTACCTTTTCATTGATGGACAAAGCCCATCAATAGCTCTAACTGTCAGTATTATAGCACAAGTGTATAGGTGCAAAAAGTCTCTTCACTTCACTTCTGACTTTACAATAGTCATGTGGCGGGATGGGGCCTGATTCTCCTCCTCTCTCCCATTCGCAGTTCCTAAGCAGGCTAACTCCATGCCTCTCAAGGCTTTCTTTTTAATCTTTGCTGTGCTTGCATACTTATAGCAAGATGATATATTCATAATAATTTAAATAGTTTTTACCATAATTGTGCAAACACAGCCAAATTAACAATAAATAAACAAGCCGATAGCACTGTTTTGGGAGGGGGAGAGGAGGAGAATGAACACATCATGGCACTGACTGCTGCGATGCTGGAACTGCAGCAAAGAGACTTGTCACAGCCAGTGGAGTGTGTGTGTGTGTTTCAAAGCAATGCAATCACATGAAAGAAGAGAAGTATGATACAAAACATTTTCAAAGCAGTATGTTCCTGTTTTGTTTCATAATGCAATTGCTTCAAGGCACAAAGTTGGAGAGATCAGAGATACAGCCAGGGGTGTCATGAAGGGAGGGCTGCATAAAAGGATGATGACACCACTGCTCCCCAATCATCTACCTTTTTGGCAGAAATGGGCTGTGGCATTTGCCTGCATCCCTTTAAAATGCTGAAGAGATGGGATGAATGACATGAGGTTCAGTGGGAGGAGAAAGGAGTGACCCTAGGTTTTTAAAAAAATTTAATTTAATTTAATTTAATTTTTTAAAATTAATTTTGTAAAGTCTTTTAAAATTTTCTTTAAAATCATCAAATCAAATTTTTACTTTAACCACATGAAACTATGTACGTGTAAATACATTTAGGCTGTGCACATGATAATGTTATTTAAAGGTAGACTTTTCATTTTGCTCATTGTCTTATGCCAAAACAATCACCACTGCACTCAGTGATATACAGGAATTATAACTGATGAGTAACATTAGTACAAAAAACGTTACTAAAGATTCTGGTGTGGTGTAATATGGGAAGATGTCAATGGAGGTGGTGGTGCTGACACCATGAATTACTGCATTGGGTGACACCAAGTCCAGCGATGCTACTGTTCTCTGCCTCCTGCTGTAGAGCAGGAAACCTTTTTCAACTAGAGGACTGCACTGGCTCCAGGCAAGTGTGCTGGGGTCTTATGCCAACAGTGAGGAAGTGGATGGGAATACAGTCCAAAATGTATGGAACCAATCCTGCTCCTGGCCTAAGCCCCCATACGTTTATCCTCCACTTCATTTACACATATGGGCATACCCACTCACCAATTAACCATTAACACACACACTTATACACACACAGTTCTCTCTATTCCAAACCCTTCACACATCCTCAGTAGGGCTGGCCCTAGATGCGGAGGGAGTAGAATAGTGGGAATCTCCAAGTATTCACCAGCCACGAATGTTATCTCCGCTACCATTCCTGCCTGGGCTCATAAAACAAGAAGGGGCATGATTCAAGATGGTGGGGCTTAGCCCTCCACCTTGCTCCAAAGGGCATGATGGACCCAAGAGCAGAGACCCACAACCTCTCTCTCTCCAGATCTCTTACCTCACATCTGGCTTTTTGGCTCACTGATGGTGCATTAGTGCCACATAACTATGAACACTAACAAGCTGAGCCTTGGCACCAGCTGGGAATGAATGTGCAAGCTTTTCCAATATCACACTACACACAATACAATCCCTCCCTAAAGTGCAAATCCCAGGATTCCACAGGAGGCTGCCATGACAATTAAAGCAGAATAACACCACTGTAACAATATAGTGTGATATTGTCCAAAGTCACCTCCCATACAAAAATTAAAACTTCCTTTCCTTCCAGTGCTGGTCACCATGAGGCTTTTCTGTCTCTGCCTGAGAAGCAATTTCAGGGGGCAGCTTTAGCTCTGCCAGCTTTAGTAAACCCTATTGAATGTGGTGGGCGTTTTATTCTGAGTATATTTGGAAAGCCTGGTATGCTTACTTTGAAGCACTATCTGTTTGCCTG